AATCTAAACCAAAAATCTCAAAAACATTGTATAGTGTATGGCCAGGCTAAATGAGCAAGCTGACGTTAGAGCCGATTGGCTGCTGTGCACAGCTGCACCAGATTCTGAGGGCTCCAAGTTTAGTTACCCCTGGTTCACATATCGGCATTTTTTAACGCGTTTTGCGGGAATGCAGCGCATGCCATTTCACATCATGGATCACGTTCACATCTGTGCGGTCTTTGTGGGCACGGGACTTCTTTTCCCGTTGCGGTTTGCGTCTTTTGGACAATAGACTTCAATGGAACCGCATCTAAAACGCAAGTGCTGCGTTTTGCATGCATTTTTATTGCTTTTTAGACGCATTTTTAACATGCTTCACTAAGACCTTCCTTAATTAAAATTAAAAATGAAAAAAAGCACCAAAACAATGCAAAAACGCATCGAAAACGCATTAAAAATGCGAGTAAAAAATTGCAAAACACACCACGAAAAGCACAGCAGAAACGGATCAAACGGATAGGGTAAGGGTCTGTTCACAGGGTGCGAAACGCTTGCTCAGCGGGGGTGGGGGGGTAATCTCTCCACTGATCCTCGCCAAGCAAGCGGATGACAGGCCTGTGTCTACTCATAGAGCCGCTCGCTATCCTCAATGGGAAGGGGGGGGGGGGGTGTTGGGGGTGTCGGATGAAAGTGGACTGCCTGTCCATTTCCATCCGACCCGATCCCCATTCGTCCCTTTTTGGAGGAGCGGATTTCGGTGGGTATAAAAGGGCACGTGTCCGTTTACACCCGCCGCTCCATAGAGCAGAATGGAGGTTCCGATCGGGTTCGCCTGAACAACGAGCCCAATCGGAACGTCCATCTGAAAGAGCCCTAAATCTCCCCCAATGTATGATCAGCCGAACAGAATAGATCTGCTTGCAGGAGGTTTCAGCATCTGACGAAACGCGCAGACAATATGTTCCACTGCTTCTGGGTTGGGTCCTATTATGGACCATCTCTGCTACAGAAGGATTTCCATCTACCCAACACTCAGCCTATTATTATCGGGTTTGTAAACCCTTCCGTATCCCCAGTGAAGTGTCCAGCCTCAGGTGATGCACAGAAATGAAACAAATCCTCCTACATAAGTTGTACCTGTTTATCTGCTTTCAGGTTTAGATAGATTCGTTGGCTAGGGATGGGGGCTGGTGAGGTTTTTCGTTTCGTTGAGAGCCCCGGTCTCAGAATATCGTATATTATATCATTGTCACGATTCAGTAACAAATATAATCCTCAGATGCTACTTACTTCTGGACTGGTTGGGACAGGAGGTGTGGGAGTCCGCTCCACAACGGAAATGTGTTCAGCCTCTTGGGTTACTTGGGATGGTTCAAGCGGTGGCGGCTCACTGACACTTTTTTGCTGTAGAGACGCCCGGCATTCTGCTACCACTATAAAAGCAAGACAAATAGGCAACTTTATTCACCACACATGGAACATAATGAAAACTTTGCTGAAGGAAAGAAACGGGAGATGGAAGGAATGGAGGGGCAAGAGGAGCTAAGAGGATGAGAGGAAGGAAGGGGAAAGAGGAGCTAAGCGGATGAGAGGAAGGAAGGGGGAAAGAGGAGCTAAGAGGATGAGAGGAAGGAAGGGGGAAAGAGGAGCTAAGAGGATGAGAGGAAGGAAGGGGGAAAGAGGAGCTAAGAGGATGAGAGGAAGGAAGGGGGAAAGAGGAGCTAAGAGGATGAGAGGAAGGAAGGGGGAAAGACGAGCTAAGAGGATGAGAGGAAAGAAGGGGGGAGAGGAGCTAAGAGGATGAGAGGAAGGAAGGGGGCAGAGGAGATAAGTGAATGAGAGGAAGGAAGGGGGCAGAGGAGCTAAGTGAATGAGAGGGATGAAGGGGGCAGAGGAGCTAAGAGGATCAGAGGAAGGAAGGGGGCAGAGGAGCTAAGAGGATGAGAGGAAGGAAGGGGGAAGAAGAGCTAAGAGGATGAGAGGGATGAAGGGGGAAGAGAAGCTATGAGGATGAGAGGGATGAATAGGGAAGAGGAGCTAAGAAGATGAGAGGAAGGAAGGGGGAAGAGGAGCTAAGCGGATGAGAGGAAGGAAGGGGGAAGAGGAGCTAAGAGGATGAGAGGAAGGAAGGGGGAAGACGAGCAAAGAGGATGAAAGGACTGAAGGGGGAAGAGGAGCCAAGAGGAGAGGAAAAAAGGGGGAGGAGGAGCCAAGAGGAGAGGAAAAAAAAGGGGGAAGAGGAGCCAAGATGAGAGGAAGGAAGCGGGAAAAGGAGCCAAGATGAGAGGAAGGAAGGGAGAAGAGGAGCCAAGATGAGAGGAATGGAGGGAGAAGAGGAGCCAAGAGAGAGGAGGAAGGGAGGGAGAAGAGGAGCCAAGATGAGAGGAATGGAGGGAGAAGAGGACAAGAGGAGAGGAAGGAAGGGGGAAGAGGAGCCAAGATGAGAGGAAGGAAGGGTGAAGAGGAGCCAAGATGAGAGGAATGGAGGGGGAAGAGGAGCCAAGAGGAGAGGAAAAAAAGGGGGAAGAGGAGCCAAGATGAGAGGAAGGAAGCGGGGGAAAAGGAGCCAAGATGAGAGGAAGGAAGGGAGAAGAGGAGCCAAGATGAGAGGAATGGAGGGAGAAGAGGAGCCAAGAGGAGAGGAAGGAGGGTGAAGAGGAGCCAAGATGAGAGGAATGGAGGGAGAAGAGGAGCCAAGATGAGAGGAATGGAGGGAGAAGAGGAGCCAAGATGAGAGGAATGGAGGGAGAAGAGGAGCCAAGAGGAGAGGAAGGAAGGGGGAAGAGGAGCCAAGATGAGAGGAAGGAAGGGTGAAGAGGAGCCAAGATGAGAGGAATGGAGGGGGAAGAGGAGCCAAAACGAGGGAAAGGAAGAGGGAAGCTTAGGGGTTGGGAGGAATGGAGATGGAAAAGGAGCTGTACAAATTGGTTCACGGCAGATCCAGAACAACTTTCTAGCATTGTGTTAGCTGATGTAGAAGGCAAATAGCAAAGTGCAACAACCCTGAGCAGCCACTCCAATCCAGATCACATCTGACTTTAGTGAAGTCGATTCTGATTGCATTTTGCACAAAATCATTGCAATTCTTCCCCGAAGATCACGGAGTGTCACGTTTCACCTATATATTTTGAAGGAGACCCCGGTAAATCCTCCTATAATAACGGAGACAGCACAGGCAAGAGTGCATTTTAATAAATCTTTTACATCTTTCCCCTCCCCCTCCTAATAGATGATCTAGAGGATTGTGTTCTTTTCTTCGAGATGACCTTGTACGTGACCTTTTTAAATACTATTATTATTCATGCGAGGGGAAGAGGAATGTGCCTACCAGGCAATATTTTAGATTGCTCCCCGTCCAGGGCATAAGCCCCGCCCACTCCCCACTGCGCTCAGTATATTACCGCCTGACGCAGGAATGACACCTCCTGCAAATCACGGACAGACTAGACTGCACAGGGAGGACAGAATGGAGTGCGCAGCTCAGGGATTCTCGATGAATTGAGAACAGTAGTAATAGCATGCTGGCTTTATTTAGGTATATTGCTTCTTTATGAAGACCGTCTTTTCAGTCCAGAGTTTTATCACATCTCTACTTTATGGACGCTTTTTATTATTTGTTACAGACTCATCATTTTTTTTTCCCCCCAAACACTATGCCCATCTAGACCAGCCATTCTCAAGCAGGGTCCTACCAGGAGGTTGCTAGAGGTTCCTTGAGCTGTGGCCGCTTGACCTCCTCTTTGAGGGTGCCTGCATATTTTCGGGATCATCGGCATGCCATCAGTTTTTTTGGGTTTTTTTTTAGCCATCTGTATGTGTGAAGATAGGTAAAACCGAGCTATTACCTCCCTAATCATCCACAGCTTGCAGGGACGGGCTTCCAGCTAGGAAGTTCTCGGTTAACCTCCAATCTTCAAGCAATAAATAAGGAAAGCTGGCGCTCCAGTGCAACAGCTATAATCAAAGGCTCTTTATTAAAGTTCGTGTGGTACAGTCATGGAAAAGACCAACGTGTTTCAACCATCAGGCCTTAATCATGACTAAGGCCTGACAGGTGAAATGCGTTCGCTTCTTACATGATTGTACCACACGAACTTTAATAAAGAGCATTTGATTATAGCTGTTGCACTGGAGCGCCAGCTTTTCTTATGTATTATCTGAATGGATGGCATTCTTCTCCCTGACCCCCAATGTAAGGGACATTCATCCCACTGACCACCAATGTAAGGGACATTCTTCCCACTGACCACCAATGTAAGGGACATTCATCCCACTGACCACCAATGTAAGGGACATTCATCCCACTGACCCCCAATGTAAGGGACATTCATCCCACTGACCACCAATGTAAGGGACATTCATTTCCACTGACCCCCAATGTAAGGGACATTCATCCCACTGACCACCAATGTAAGGGACATTCATCTCACTGACCACCAATGTAAGGGACATTCTTCCCACTGACCACCAATGTAAGGGACATTCTTCCACTGACCCCAATGTAAGGGACATTCTTCCCACTGACCCCCAATGTAAGGGACATTCTTCCCACTGACCCCCAATGTAAGGGACATTCTTCCCACTGACCCCCAATGTAAGGGACATTCTTCCCACTGACCCCAATGTAAGGGACATTCTTCCCACTGACCCCCAATGTAAGGGACATTCTTCCCACTGACCCCCAATGTAAGGGACATTCTTCCACTGACCCCCAATGTAAGGGACATTCTTCCACTGACCCCAATGTAAGGGACATTCTTCCACTGACCCCTGATGTAAGGGACATTCTTCCCACTGACCCCCAATGTAAGGGACATTCTTCCCACTGATCACCAATGTAAGGGACACTCTTCCCACTGACCCCCAATGTAAGGGACATTCTTCCCACTGACCCCCAATGTAAGGGACATTCTTCCCACTGACCCCAATGTAAGGGCATTCTTCCCACTGACCCCAATGTAAGGGACATTCTTCCCACTGACCCCCAATGTAAGGGACATTCTTCCCACTGACCCCAATGTAAGGGACATTCTTCCCACTGACCCCCAATGTAAGGGACATTCTTCCCACTGATCCACCAATGTAAGGGACACTCTTCCCACTGACCCCCAATGTAAGGGACATTCTTCCCACTGACACCAATGTAAGGGACATTCTTCCCACTGACCCCCAATGTAAGGGACATTCTTCCCACTGACCCCCAATGTAAGGGACATTCTTCCCACTGACCCCCAATGTAAGGGACATTCTTCCCACTGACCCACCAATGTAAGGGACATTCTTTCCACTGACCACCAATGTAAGGGACATTCTTCCCTGACCCCCAATGTAAGGGACATTCTTCCCACTGACCCCCAATGTAAGGGACATTCTTCCCACTGACCACCAATGTAAGGGACATTCTTCCCACTGACCCCCAATGTAAGGGACATTCTTCCCACTGACCACCAATGTAAGGGACATTCTTCCACTGACCACCAATGTAAGGGACATTCTTCCCACTGACCACCAATGTAAGGGACATTCCTCCCACTGATCACCAATGTAAGGGACATTCTTCCCACTGATCCCCAATGTAAGGGACATTCTTCCCACTGATCACCAATGTAAGGACATTCTTCCCACTGACCCAATGTAAGGGACCATTCTTCCCACTGACCCCCCAATGTAAGGGACATTCTTCCCAACTGATCACCATGACCTTCTTCCCACTGACTCCAATGTAAGGGACATTCTTCCCACTGACCACCAATGTAAGGGACATTCTTCCCACTGACCCCCAATGTAAGGGACATTCTTCCCACTGACCATTCCCCAATGTAAGGGACATTCTTCCCACTGACCCCAATGTAAGGGACATTCTTCCCACTGATCCCCCCCAAAGTAAAGGGACATTCTTCCCAATGATCACCAATGTAAGGAAAATTCTTCCCACTGACCACCAATGTAAGGGACATTCTTCCCACTGACCCCCAATGTAAGGAACATTCTTCCCACTGACCACCAATGTAAGGGACATTCTTCCCACTGACCACCAATGTAAGGGACATTCTTCCCACTGATCACCAATGTAAGGAAAATTCTTCCCACTGACCCCCAATGTAAGTACAATTCTTCCCACTGATCACCAATGTAAGGGACATTCTTCCCACTGACCCCCAGTGTAAGGGAACATTCTTCCCACTGACCCCAATGTAAGGGACATTCTTCCCACTGACCCCCAATGTATAAGGAAAATTCTTCCCACTGATCACCAATGTAAGGAAAATTCTTCCCACTGACCACCAATGTAAGGAACATTCTTCCCACTGACCACCAATGTAAGGGACATTCTTCTCACTGACCCCCAATGTAAGGGACATTCTTCTCACTGACCCCCAATGTAAGGGACATTCTTCTCACTGACCCCCAATGTAAGGGACATTCTTCCCACTGACCCCCAATGTAACTCCTCTTCCCCCTCCATTACTTTCATCCCCTTAGCACCTCTCTGCCCTCCATTCCTCCCATCCCCTTAGCTCCTCTCCCCCCTATTTTCCTCCCGACCCCTTTATTCCACTTCCCCCTCCACTTCTCCCGTCCCCTTAGCTCCTCTTCCCTCTCCATTTCTCCCATCCCCTTAGTTCCTCTCCCTCCCCCATGCCTCCCAACCCCTAAGCTCATCTCCCCACTCCATTCTTCCCATCCTCTAAGCTCCTCTTCGCCCTCCATTCCTTTCATCCCCTAACCTTCTCTCCCCACTCTACACTTCCAATCCTCTAACCACATCTCTCCACTCCATTCCCCCCATCCTCAAAGCTCTCTTCTTCTCCCTCCATTCCTCCCATCCCCGTAGGCTCTTCTCCTCCCTCCATTCTTCCCATCCGCTAAGTTCCTCTTCCTCTTCCATTCCTCCCATCCCCTAAGTTTCTCTCCTCCCTCCATTCCTCCCATCGCCTAAGCTCCTCTCCCCCCTTCATTCCTCCCATCCCCTAGGCTCCTTCTCCCCCCTTCATTCCTCCCATCCCCTAAGCTCCTCTCCCCCCTTCATTCCTCCCATCCCCTAAGCTCCCTCTCCCCCCTCCATTCCTCCCATCCCCTAAGCTCCTCTCCCCCCTTCATTCTCCCATGCCCCCCCCCTAAGCTCCTCCCCCCTCCATTCCTCCCATCCCCTAGGCTCCTCTCCCCCCTCCATTCCTCCCATCCCCTAGGCTCCTCTCTCCCCCCTTCATTCCTCCCATCCCCTAAGCTCCTCTCCCCCCCATTCCTCCCATCCCCTAGGCTCCTCCCCCCTCATCCCCCCTAAGCTCCTCTCCCCCCTCCATTCCTCCCATCCCCTAGGCTCCTCTCCCCCCTCCCATTCCACCCATCCCCTAGGCTCCTCTCCCCCCTTCATTCCTCCCATCCCCTAAGCTCCTCTCCCCTATTCATTCCTCCCATCCCTCTAAGCTCCTCTCCCCCCTTCATTCCTCCCATCCCCTAGGCTCCTCTCCCCCCTCCATTCCTCCCATCCCCTAAGCTCCTCTCCCCCATTCATTCCTCTCATCCCCTAAGCTCCTCTCCCCCCTTCATTCCTCTCATCCCCTAAGCTCCTCCCCCCCTCCATTCCTCCTACCCTCTTACCTACTTATTGATGAATAATGAAAACATTTTTTAAATCTGTTCAAGTTTAAACCACATGTGCCGAATATTATTGAAACAAATATGCCAGTAAATAAATCAGAATCAAAGGTTTTGTTTAAATTAACTGTAAACAATTCTGACACAAAAAAAAGAATAATTGGAATTATCTTGACTAGAGAAGTAGTAATGCCGCCTGCAGTGACCCGCGGCCCGAACATTCCCAAGCGGAGACTTCCATTATACGCTTTACACCTCCAGATTCATTAACATAAATGTCAGATTTATTTTGTTGTGCAATCTGGAAGGCCAGGAGAGTCTTCATTTGCGATTTTCCATAGACGCTGCGTCTAGCCTGCTGGTTGGTTAGTAGATCTGGCCTGTTTTCCTATTGGCTATTGAGCTCACACATTAAAAAAAACAAACCAAAACACATCAGTGGTTTAGCGTGGTTCCTGTCGGGAGTTTTTACAATACCATGGCCGTACCTCTGTTGAATATTTACTTGTATTCTCTCCCTGTGAGGCGGGTATCAAGCTGTAAAGACCTCCTACCCAAGTTCATGGCTGATAATAGACACAAAAAAACTCTACAACATGCGGTCAGGATCACATGAGACATAAAGGAGGATCTGGGATCCGCAGCAATGGGCTCTGGGCTTGTGTTGGATATATGCAGCTTGCCTTCAGGTGCATTCAGCTTGTACCTTAGGACAGCTGGACTGTTACAGCTCTGAAGCACTAGGTCAGGGGTGTCAAACAGGCGCCCCCCAGCTGCTGCAAAACTACAAGTCCCATCATGCCTCTGCCTTTGGGAGTCATGCTTGTAACTGTTAGTCTTGCAATGCCTCATGGGACTCAGATACAGTTTAGTTCTGCTTTAAAGGCAAGCAGGCAAAATGGCCGCCTCGCGCAGTTGTAAAGCACATTGGCAGCAAGCGCCGACACTTCCTTTAAATCCATTTCATAAAATGGTTTAAATAAATCCCCACTTAAGAAATTATATTTTTTTTTTGTATATTCTGTGTTGTGCAATTGATCTGAATCCAACATTCGGCTCTGCCAACAGCCATTCAAGAAATTGGCAAACAATCTAACATTCTTCAGCGTTCTTATCTCTTTTCTAAATTTGTACAAAAGATAAACATGACTCCGACTTCAAAATATCTTCATATCTGGCTTTACTAAATCAGAACGACATATTGAAGACCGGAGCCCACCTTGTGTCGGCCTATCGGTGGGGTTCATTTCCCTACCAATATTGAAGACTGGAGCCCCACCTTGTGTCGGCCTGTCGGTGGGGTTCATTTCCCTACCGGTATTGAAGAGCGGAGCCCACCTTGTGTCGGCCTGTCGGTGGGGTTCATTTCCCTACCGGTATTGAAGAGCGGAGCCCACCTTGTGTCGGCCTATCGGTGGGGTTCATTTCCTTACCAATATTGAAGACTGGAGCCCACCTTCTGTCGGCCTGTCGGTGGGGTTCATTTCCCTACCAGTATTGAAGAGCGGAGCCCACCTTGTGTCGGCCTATCGGTGGGGTTCATTTCCCTACCAGTATTGAAGAGCGGAGCCCACCTTGTGTCGGCCTATCGGTGGGGTTCATTTCCCTACCAGTATTGAAGAGCGGAGCCCACCTTGTGTCGGCCTATCGGTGGGGTTCATTTCCCTACCAGTATTGAAGAGCGGAGCCCACCTTGTGTCGGCCTGTCGGTGGGGTTCATTTCCCTACCGGTATTGAAGAGCGGAGCCCACCTTCTGTCGGCCTGTCGGTGGGGTTCATTTCCCTACCAATATTGAAGACTGGAGCCCACCTTCTGTCGGCCTGTCGGTGGGGTTCATTTCCCTACCAATATTGAAGAGCGGAGCCCACCCTGTGTCGGCCTATCGGTGGGGTTCATTTCCCTACCAATATTGAAGACCGGAGCCCACCTTGTGTCGGCCTATCGGTGGGGTTAATTTCCCTACCAATATTGAAGAGCGGAGCCCACCCTGTGTCGGCCTATCGGTGGGGTTAATTTCCCTACCAATATTGAAGAGCGGAGCCCACCCTGTGTCGGCCTATCGGTGGGGTTCATTTCCCTACCAATATTGAAGACCGGAGCCCACCCTGTGTCGGCCTATCGGTGGGGTTCATTTCCCTACCAATATTGAAGAGCGGAGCCCACCTTCTGTCGGCCTATTGGTGAAGGTTTATTTCCCCACCAGTATTGAAGAGCGGAGCCCACCTTGTGTCGACCTATCGGTGGGGTTCATTTCCCTACCAATATTGAAGAGCGGAGCCCACCTTGTGTCGGCCTATTGGTGGGGTTCATTTCCCTACCAATATCTGCTGATGTTATCACTGCTAACAGTAGGAAGGTAGAGCGCCATAACAAAGGTGCGCCTGTAATTGCTCGGGAACAATGGCCGTGAGATGACAGCCCCTCCCCCAATCCTTGGAATGGTGCTTCTTGTCTTACAACCACAAATCTCTCCCTGCCTTCTTCTTGAGAATAGATGGCTTGTCCTGACTTTGAAGAGTACAAATTTGCACAGACCTCTCTTTTCACTCTCCTGGTTGAATGCTCAATGTGCCTCCAAGTATTTACCAATGGACCTGAATTAACCGCCATTGTGGAGAAGAATGCTTGTGGATTATAAAACGCCTTCAGAGCTATGTTAAGGATGTACAGCAGGCCTGGGCATTTTACGACCCCCAAACCACATCCAGTCTGTAACGGAACCGACCCCGACAGTGCTTGGGTACTTCCGTTCGAATACCGCTTTCTCGTCCGAACACCGTCCACAGACACCACCGCTGACCATACAAGACAACACAACACCAGTCTTGAAGTAAACCAGGAGGTAGACTAGCTTATTTTAATACAGATATAAGATATATACACTCAGGGGAACAATCCCACCTCCCTGCATAATGACACAGGGCGGGGCAATCTACATTTAGTAACAAAAGACCCATCAACAGACAGTCCCATTAGGAGGGAGGGCTGCTGGAGACACCCCCCACCAAGCCAATACACAAACACAAACATCCCATAATAGTTTGCTCCCAAGCCAGACACCCAATAGAACATAAGGATGCAACCACATAACATCAAACAAACAATCAACAACCCCCACCCCAATATTAGGACAGATCACCCTGTACCCCTAACAGGCACAAGGTGACTTACACATAATAGGGATATGGGGAGCTGAGACAGGGGTCTCCCCACCTCTCCAAAGTGAGCTGTGTTCCATGGGCCCCCACCCAAAGTGAGCTGTGTTCCATGGGCCCCCACCCAAAGTGAGCTGTGTTCCATGGGCCCCCCACCCAATGGTCAAATGGAAATCAGAAACCCCTGGATCCGGGCTTGCCAGTCAACAAGTTGGCAGCGGCTTGGTTGGTCAGCTGGTCACCAAAGGTGGTGGCAGTCACACTTCTGCCCTTTCTGAGAGGCTTCGGCCATGCAGAAGGGACAGCATCCCAACTTGAGCG